ACATAGAAACCTTTAGAAAATTAAATCCAGATTTCCTAGGAGCAAAGGGATCCTGTTTTATCCCAGTTTGAGGTGTTAGTTCTTCATGATGACTTCTAACACAAAAGTCAAACCCAGATTCTGTTGGATCCAAAGCAGACTTGGAGCAGAACCAATGTAGATAAATTAGCCACAAAATATGCATTATATATTGCAGTATTATGTTTATTTTACAAATGAAATATTTAATTGACATTTTTGTTGCTTTCTCATTGCTGCATGTGCAAATATACTTCCGCTATTTCCATTTAAATTAGAATAATTTTTAAGTCGTGGTAAACAGATTAAGCACTAAGAGTAAACGGAACCGTGAGTAGCTCTCAAAATTTCACAAACGAGGATTATCCATTTAGATCACTAAACCCGAGAATTCCAAAGACAGGCTTTAAAACTTTTTTAATAGGCTACATCAGGTTCAGCATGTAATGCATAAGAAGGTTTAAAAAGCAATTAGCCAAAACTGCTTTCTTTCTTGTACTTGAACTTTCAAAACAGGGAGTGAATTTGAAACTACAGCACATGTAACCTGCAACTGTATGATGCTCCCTCTAAAGGTAATTAATGAAAGGATGTCAAACAGCAAGAGGATTTTTCCCCAGCTCCAAATTTAGGGTCTTTTCTTATTACATCCAAATGTTTGCCCAAAGATTAGAGCAACTTTGATGGACAACTGATCAACAATATAGATGTTCTAAAATTAAGAGCTTTTGTTGCATCAAAAACCTTTGTACAATGTAATGTGAAAATAATATGGCAGACTAGCAAACTAAGATCTTTATGTGTAGCAATAGAAAAAAGAGGGGTCTAAAGTTACAGTCCAGCAAAAACATCCATTTGAGAACTTGCTCTGCTATGCATACCGCAGTATATACATTAGTAAAAGAAATTTAAGATTGTGGCGTTGTATGGTTGGCCTCATAAGGAAAAATAATCATGGAATAAATTCTGCATAACTAATACAATGTTAGGTTCAACTCTACAGTAATAACTTAGGGGTCGTTTAGTTACCGGGATTTTAATCCTAGAATAGCCTTGTTCCAAACGAAACGACCCCTTAGTATATTATTTCTGGTATTAGACTCTGCACTATTAATATCGACCTAACTTATGCTGAAATCTATGTATTATTTTAAGTGGGACAAAATGCAGATATTAGTATACCAAGAAGTATCTACCAAAGATGCCCTCAAAGTAGCAATCCCTGCATAACAATCCCTACATATTACTTGATATATAACAACCCATACATAATTGTTCATCTCATAATAATCCCTATATATTATCCACAGTATAACAAACAATTCATGTATTATAATCCTAACATAACAAATCCATGTATGTGTTATTTTAATAGGACTAGAAATGCATAGACCCTTAAAAGTATGTGCATAACTTGCAATTTTAACATCTAGAAGGCTGTTAAACTAGGAAATGATAAATCAGCGGATGAAACAAGATCAAGCTGCCAGGTCGCCTGTAAATAACCTGTAAATAGAATACTGGACTACTGAAGCAACATTTTTGGTGACAATCTAATTTCTTGGGGCTCTAAAAAGTTTAACAAATAACAAGACAAAAATGCATTTCCGAGAAAATACCTTCCTAGCTTTCAGAAGTTTCTTTTCTGACTCAGCTTTCGCGCGAGATTGTCGACGCCTCAAGATGCCATGATACTGTTTTGCATTAACAAAAACAGGTTCGTCTATTGCGTCTGATGGCAAAGGAACACCAGCTTGTTGAATTCCCATAAGCTGAACGTGAACCTGAGAGAAAATGGCATAAATACAACTCTTAACTTTTTAGGGACATTTCTGAGATGAATTCCAAATGAAAAATGTTAAGAAAAATCTAATACCATTGGTTGTGCTGGATAAGGTTGTGTAGGATAAGGCTGTGCATCGTATGGTGCAAAGATGCTCCTATAGTATGGGTCCGGATAAGGATAAGCTGTTTGAGCCTGCAACTAAAAATTGATGCAGATTTATTATCATAAAAATAGAAGCAAGACAACCAATCACCAAAGTGTATATCCCAGAATTAGTAGACACAAAAATGGGCTTCAAATAATTCCTAAACTGGTACCTTAAAGATCTATAGTCTCATTAGATTCTTTAAAAGCTGTCCAATAAAAAATGGATGTCCTACTAAGAATACTTAGCATAGCTGGTGTTATGCATGTCAAATGTAAGAGAGGGAGGGAGATAAAACATCCAGTTCCAGGTTAATCTTTAGGCAGCAGTCGATCTGAATAAGAACCACAAATTTTCAACAACAGTTGGAAACAGTTATAGCACTAAATTTCATTCAAAGCTGGCAAAACTTAAAAGGCATTTGCATTTAGACAAGCATTTACAGTATAACTAACTGTATGCTTCAAGCTGCTGCATCAAGAGTCTACTTGATTCCGATCATCCCTCCCATGGTGATCAAAGAATTCTGCTAGTGTATCCCTCCTATAGGACAAAGACTTACCTTAAACGAAACTCTAGGCCAACAGACCTACACGAAAGTTTTAGCCAAATTGTGGCAAGTGCAGTTCCTAGAGAAAGAGTGACAAACAGATCTCGCAATCTGAAAACGAAGCAATGCCTAGAGAATTAGTTCCAAATAACACCAAGCTTGTAAAACAGGATTTTACTTAAAACCAAATAGGGAGATCAAAATAAAAGTGTGTGTATCTAACCTAGTCATTCCAATTTTCAAGACCAATGAAAATACCAGAAGACAAGCCCAAAATGGAAATTTAAACTATTCCAAGGTCTTCAGTTATTGAAAAATCCACCATGACAGGTCGTAAATATCGAAAAGTCATGAAATACGTATTGTCAATGTTAACGTCACCATTCAAAAAGTTTATGCAACTTACATAAGCACACACTAGACAGGGTATTTTTTTCTCACAACTGAACGTTTTTATCAGTAGTGATCAAAAGCAATATCTAACTCCTTCGAGAAATATGCAAATTTTCTAATTCTCAGTCAGAGGCTATCAGCCCTTATTAGATCAGCCAGGGAGACAACATGACAATCTATAAGCAGATATATCTCCCATCCTACTCCAAGTACATCTGGAATACTACTATGACTTGATGCATTAATCTGCATCTTCTTAGGTTCATATTCACCTATTACTTTCTCAAATTGTCCGAACGACACCAGCTATTCTGCTATGCTATCTAATAAGCAACTTTTGTCAATTTATAGGTTGACGTAAAAATCAGACAATTCATTCATATATCTGAAATTACTGTCACAAAATAATAGCCTAGGCATCCTTTGCATCATATGGATTCATCCCTAGATACAAGAATCCTAAGCGCAATCATAGTTCCATTATGCCCCACCTTAACCTATTTATTATCAACTTGGGCTTTCATGATTTTAAACATTCAATTATTTGGTCAAGTTTTATACACGGTTCCCTATTTCAAGTATCAAAGTGGTCAAGGAAGATAAGAACCACATAACTTTTTCTTGTTATGACCAAATATGAACAACTGCACTTCATCTCATAAAACAAAGAAGCCTATTAACAAGTGCAGCAATGATAATACTCACAGAACCATCGTCAGTATAATTTCATGCCTTAACTCTTTTGTTTTCAATCAGTTGATTCTTGAGATATCTATAGCCTATTTGACGAGACCCCTAGTTCATTCAAAGTTAACACTTCTAGGATCAGATCTGGTCGAATGAACAGGAGGGTGGTTGCATCTGTCAGCAAGAAAACAACAACAACAACAACCCAGTGTGGTCCCACAAGTGGGGTCTAGGGAGGGTAGGATGTACGCAGCCTTACCCTACCCTGGAAGGGCAAAGAGACTGTTTTCGATAGACCCTCGGCTAAAGAAGGTGAGAGAAGTATACTGCTAACAAACTACGAAATTACCAATGGCAAGTAACAACGAAACGAGACATGCGAATATAACAAACTAAGGAAAAAAGGGAACCTTACTAGCGCTAATACTATCGAGCTACATAAGACAAAGGGAGACACACAATTACCTACTAAGCTTCTACCCTAATCTTCAACCTCCACACCCTTCTATCTAGGGTCATGTCCTCGGTTAGCTCAAATTGCGCCATTTCCCGCTTGATCACCTCTCCCCAAGACTTCTTTGGCCTACCTCTACCCCTCCTCTCACCTCCTAAGGCCAACCTCTCACATCTCCTGACAGGGGCACCTGCGCTTCTCCTCTTAGCATGCCCAAACCATCTCAACCTTGCCTCACGCATCTTTGCCTCCACAGGGGTCACTCCCACCTTGTCTCGAATAACTTCATTCCTAATTCTATCCAACCTAGTATGCCCACACATCCATCTCAACATCCTCATTTCCGCGACCTTCATGTCGGTCAGCAAGAATAATGAACACATAGAAGAAGATATCAAATTCGGACTTAATAGCGACATTCACAAATCTGGCAGTAGAAGTTAATATGAGCTTCAAATATACCATAGCATTTTCATTGCCAAGTTGAGCGGGCATCACATAGTGCATATTTGGTGTTACAGTTCCAGGGACAGACATTCCAATAGCAGGGGATGAAGACTCGCTGTGAGCCTCTGATTGCTTCTCTGGCTGTTCATTCTCACTACCATCTGACATTTATTGCAGTAACACAGGAATTAAAAGTTTTTCATTATGTAACCAAAAGCACATACCCAACTTACTTTAGCCTCCTTCTGCTTTTGTCTGAGGTGACTCTGTTTCTTTACAAATTGAATGTGAAACAAAATCATACATTGGCAGAAATTTCTTTTTTTTCTTCTTTTTTTTGATAAGTCCAAAATCTTTTGATAAGACAACTTTTCATTGATAACACACCATGAATGCATCAAAAGAGCGCATTAAAAGATAATCGGCTCAACCAGTGTCATCTAACAAGTACTCCTGAATCTTGACTATCTATACATACTGGGATTTTTGCTTTACAACATTATCTTTATATTTTTTACATCCTTTTAGCTATTTTAGAACCTATATCTTTCATTCCAAATTAGCCAAGGGATGCATAGAGGCATTCTTCCAACTGCCTTCATTTTCTTAACAATCTTCCACAATACTTATTAAAAAAAAAAACAATCTGCCACAATAGTATGGAAAATTTCTCAAGCTGCACATTTGATGTCATGAATATGCTTCAACTCAGAAAATTGGAGGAATCGCACAAAAAATGTGCCAGATTTTCCTACCACGGGAGTAAGGGTTCATATCCAACTATATGTGCAGAAGGGCAAGGGTACTGACATCACTCAGTAATGAAAGACATGTGAATCAAGCTAATTTCATGCTCAACATAACACAGTTAAGGACTCGAGAAACAAATCTATACCACCGACAAAATAGTGTACTAGAAATACAGAAACTAACCTGAATGATAATGAAGCGAGGACGTCATGACGCTGCTAGTCACAGAATCCCCAAATTAACAAGCCTATGCAGTTAAATGAAAAGGATGGATCAGCAAAAAAAATAGCACATACTATACCACAAATATACCTGCACGAGCATAAGTAATTCCATACACAACTTAAATTCAACCTTCAGATATAATGACAAGACTTCTTCATTTCTCATATCCCAACATTTCTACACATAAGCCCATTTCCCTCGAATATCCATGCAACAAATCCAAATTACTTATGCAATTAAAACAGACACATTTTACTCTTCTTTTTTTTTTTTTTAATCTTTCAAACTACAAATCAACCTTAAAATTACATGAATTTTCACATAGTCCAGTTAAGTTTCTGAGGTAAACAACAAATAACAGAAGTTCCTTACCAGAAAAGAAACAAATAACGGAAGATGCTAAGCTCAAATCCAATTTTCCGTTCCTTTTGAGATTTCTTCAATTTTTTATGCAAAAACATGCTAACTCTAAATTCAACATTCAAAAATGAAATACAATTAGATAATAACACGAAAGATTTCAGAGTTCAGGCATTATAATATTTCAACATTTTCGGCACATAAACTCAATTACGATACAAATAAAGATAGATTTCAAATCAAAATATGCAAACCATAAGAAAAATTCACCTCATAAGCAATTGAAAACTTAAACAGCTCAAACGAACACCTCATACATGAATTTTCATACATGCAAGCACACAAAGTACGAAGCTCAATTTCGAAATCCAGCCTTTTATTAATCCTGAAAACAAATTTAGGTTTTTGAACAGAAAAAATAGGGAGAGCTTCACTTACAGAATAGAAAATAAATAGTAAGCGGTTTTATTTCTGGCGTTTCCTGTGTTCTTTTCTTTCTTCAGAGCTTTTATTCAGTGTTGGTAGCAGCAGCGAACTGTTGTTTCTCTGTCGTGAGACTGCTATTTACCAAAACTGTAAAACATTTTACTGCGAGAATCACGTTCGCTTTCACTATTCTTAGCTTCTTTTTACTTTTTCTCTTACTTAAATTTAGAAAAAAAACACTACTACTATATTCTAGTTACAAGATTTAAAGTAAATTCGATCCTTCGTCAATAAAGTATATTAGCATTAATTTAATTAACTTTTAAATGAAGTCTATGAAAATAATTATTAGTTTATATATAATCATGTAAATGCACGTTTTATAATTTCAAAAACAACGAAAGTTAGTAAGTTTTTCTGAATTATAATATTACGCAAAAAATAATACTTCAAAAGAAATGAAGAAAAATCGACTAAGCTGTAAAGTATTTCAAACGACATAAAAAAGTCCATTTTAACTAAGATATTTTTATTTTACTAAATATAATATCAGTCAACGGTAATATAAAATACGTTGGTAAATTAATAGTAGGTGTAGTATGTAATTTACCCCCAATAAAAGGAAAATAAGAAAAGAAAAATGGAAACAGAATATATGTGGCTTAGAGGGGAAAAACGAAGGGGTCCAAATTTTTGGCAGACAGAAAGAGAAAAGCAGTTGCAATCTTAGCCAGAAATTTATGTGGACCCTAAATTGGGGTTGTCAGTAAAATAAAATCATTTAAATAAGGAATTCTCTTTTTTTTCGTCAAATAAAAATATTCTATTATATGAACATGTGGCAGACTGGCAGTAGGTTGAAGGCTTCAAGCTGCGTCATACTTGTCCCTGATTTTGACCCAATCTTCCTACAACTGAGGTAAAAGGACATCAAGTTTAATTTAATTATGCAGCAAGTTTAGAATTATTCTGTAAAACTTGTAAACGCAGAAAATATAAGAATGTAAAAAAATTTAAATCTTGCAGTCTACATTAAAGATATATATAAAATAGCAAATATATACTTTAAATTCTATATCTTAAACAAGTTATATAATTTGTGAAACTTACTAAATAAAGTCTTTAAGTCGAATTACGTATAACATGGTTTCACTTTGAACATGCTCTCAAACATGTTACCTTTTGACTGGTTACAGTAAACGATTATTACAATGCAAACACACTTTTCCTAAATTTGTAGTAGCTTCTCACATTTGTTCATATATTATATTTCATTCACAATTCTGTCACTGGAAATTACAAATTAACATGTTAGAACCTACATTATTTACCTGATTTTTGAACCAATTCAACTTTTGATGAACTAGCTTATTATGGAAGGGAATGTAGGGGAATTCTGCAAAGGATATTTCAATAAAAAGAACAACATGGATTGACATCTTTTGCTGCAGCACATATTAGTCAGCAATACCACCTAGAGCAAAAGATGCATTCCTCAAAATTACTAGGCCTTCTCGCTAATGTATTTTTATCAAGGAAAAGCAAAGAGATGTTGCTCCTTGTTCAAGAAAAATACATTGATCAGAAGACTTCAATGGATTGACCTAATCCTAGCATTGAAAGAGTACTAAGAAGTCTCCTGCGACATCATTGTTCTTTCCATATCCTACCAGTAACTCTAAGCTTCAATTCTTTCCGGTCTCCACCAGAAAAGAAGAGCGCCATATTACGTTGAATAATGAGGCCATCAAAACTGTCTCTAACCTTACGGTGACTGTCCCTAACGCTTCTTGGTACCCCTTGCCAAATCATCTTCCTTCCATTGCCTCCAACTTCAAGACTGTAGCTAAAGTTCTTTGCCGTTTCATCATCACCCAAGAACCGTAAAAATGCAATATAAACTGGTGCCATTCCAAGTTGAAATGCTTCAAAGTGTAAACAGAAGTACTGACCAAAGCAACTGAAAACCTGGAGGAAAATTAAAATGAGACCACATTATTCCAGATATGAACTCAACGTACAGGATCAAAAGTTAAGCAACAATATCAGCTCTAAGAACCGCTGGTTAGATTCGACATAGTGAAAAAGACAGCACACAGAAAAGGGTACAGCATAACATATAACCAGGTAGGTACAGAACAATCTGCCAAGCTAGCCAACTTTGTTGGAGACGAGAAGATCCTAGTACATACATGGGATTTGCCATGGAAAGAAAGATCTTTGCCATCTTCATTGGCTAAATTTTCCTGGCTCAAGGTTTTCCTTAAAAGAGCAAATTTCGCAAAAGGTTTTTTTTTTTGCAGAAAAGGTCCCTCAATGTTCAAATATGATGTCAAATAATTGATCCTCCAAATTCAAAAGGCCCCCAAAACAACAGCCACTTTGCAATGGGCAGCCAAATTACATCAAAGATATGTCAGTGCTCATGTCCAAAGATTAAGGATACTCCAGGTCATACAGCCAAATGATCTACCACTGAGATTGAGGGTATCGGTCAAAACATTAATGGCTTTCCAGCTTACGTAATCAAGCAAAATCCTAAACAAAAAACAAACCATAAAAATTGAACAAGAAGACCACCTATGTTGCACGGACTCTCCAAAATGTTGCCACACCCGTGTCGGATCCTCAAACAATAAACTACTTTTTGAGGATCTGACACGCACCCGGTGACATTTTCGGAGAGTCCGAGCAAAATAGAAGACCACCAAGCCACTCCCCTCATCTCCTCCATCTATTTTCTTCAAGGTTATAGGCAAGTAGTATGCTAATAAAAGAAGTGAAGAATTTAATTGTTATTCCTGTTTGCAACAAATTTATCCCGAGAAAATAAAACTGCAATCACAAACAACTATAAAGAAAAAAGGATATTATTGATAAACATTGTAGGTTACAACTCTGTCTGTCCCTTTCTTCCTCCTCCGATTGATTCTACGTGATTCGAAGGCCTTAGCAGCGTATTTCTCGAACATAGGACTTTAAGCAAGACATATTTGACATGTCTTTGATCTCTTAATGAATATTCCAAAAGTTTCATGGAATTTCAGAGATCTCATATTTGATGTCTTTGTGCATATTCCGAGAGTTTATGGAATTGCTGAGATCGTCTTTGAAGGACATATGTAGCCTTATTTATAGGCATAAATTAGGGTTTGGGTGGAGTAGCCACCAAGTAACCCTAATAGACTCCTAATATTTCAAAAGTCGTCTTGAATTTAGGATTTATCTTGATCTACTGAAATTTCAGTGTCTACAATTCCTATTGTGAACAAACTAAATTTATTATTTAAAAAGCATTATTTCGTCCCCCGATCAAAAGAAGCGAAAAGTAGGGATGTCAAATAGAACCTTATAGCATCTCGACTGAAAATACTAAAAAAAAGAGACTTGAGTCTTGAACTCACAACATAATATTCATGCGCCCATTCTTCACAGCAAAGAAGTCACACTAATAACATTCCCCTATACACAAATCTAGCACACTTTCAGAATTTGTTTGCTAGAGTTGCCTACTTTGAATTAGACCAAAAGCTAATCTGCAGTGAATGGAAGAAGAGCAACAGTACTTACAGTAAGCATCCATGTAGCATTTTCCACTTCATGGGGATTTGCTTTTACATAACGATGATTGAAAGTACTGCCGACATGCATATCAACTTTGTGATCATCTTTCAAATGGGCAACTAAATATGGGATGTCGCCAATGACGGTGCACTCTGAGCCAGCATAGGGGCAATTATAGGGTCTGAAAGAGCATTCAGATTCGTGCTTCAGCTTGCTGTAGTAAGGAATGATTCCTATACATCCAAAGCTCTGATATTTACATGGGAGCTCAAGAGATGCAGCAACCTTCTCTAATGCAAGGCATCGAATATTACCAAGCTCATGCCGACATGTTGGACAGCGATTATGCACCCTAGGTTTGCAACCAGAACACAGTGTGTGACCGTTGGAACACTGCAATAAGGGCAAAAGAGAGAGAGAAGAATTAAATACCGCACAGACAAGAAACAGAGACAACAATAACGGTCGGAGCGTCTTGTAAAAGAAGAATAACTGTATAAAAGATATCACTCCAGTAATAGTTTGTGAGCACAGATCACTATGCCCTCTGTTCCATTTTACATGGTACTATTGGGAATCAAACATTTTTTCTCGTTTGGAGACGGAAGAATATTTGTTTCACTAATTAACTTTAAAAAAAATAAAATAGACAAAGAAAAACATGTAAGTTTTATCCTACACTATTCTAAAAGAAAAACCTGACCTAAATTGCAATAAGGGCAAAATAGATAGAGAAGAATTAAATACCGCACAGACAAGAAACAGACACAATAATAACGATCGGAGCGTCTTGTAAAAGAAGAATAACTGTATAAAAGATATCACTCCAGTAATATTTGTGAGCATATATCACTATGCCCTCTGTTCCATTTTACATGGTACTATTGGGAATCAAACATTTTTTCTCGTTTGGAGACGGAAGAATATTTGTTTCACTAATTAACTT